GGGAGATGTTATTTCAGTCACTGCCAAAATGGGATGTGATTCAGTTTGTTTACTTATATAATCCAGTGCTGAGCACTTATTAACTGGATTCTGCAAATACTTGCAGTTCATAATGTTCTACATATTTCATCACACTGAATATAAGTTTAAATAAAATTATAAGATTTGTTATTTGATTTAGTTTTCAGGCCGTGTTTGGACCTGCAAGTAGTTTGCAGTTTAAATTATCACTTTATTTGCTGCATAAATAGAACTGGGCAGCACCTGTTCGAAAGAGTCTTCAGAGACACTGCATGGGAACTAGTGTCAGCCTTTTGTCTCCTACAATTTGTGACTGTTGCATACTTCAGCACTTGATAAACTATGCCTCTGTGCAGAGAGCCCCTTCAGTGTTGCTAGGAAACCCAGTAACTGTTTTGTACAATCTTGAGATTTTAATTCATTTCTAGTGCAACACATTGAAGAGCAATTAAATGTTTTAAACACTTTTTTAGAAAGAAATGCTGAAAGCCATTTAAAAATCTGTTTATTTTTTTAGCAGCACACACATTAAGAAAATACCAGTATAAAGCAGAAATGGGCAATCACCTTAAAATCGCAGTTCTCAAAAAATAACTGCTTTTAACAGTTTAGGGTATATCTTTGCGGATCATTTTTATACATATGTAACTGTTTCCTAAGGTAGTGTTTTAAGGTAAAAGTAATTTTTATGTGTCAAACAACAAAGAATGAAAGATACTATCATGAAAACTGAGTTGCATTTTATTCTAATGACTGCAATAGAAGTACAGAGAGATGGTTAAAATTTGAATATGTACACATTTAGATGTTTGGTGTCATTTAACTTTTTTATTTATTTATTTATTTATTTATTTTAAGGATTTTATTTATTTGAGAGAGAGAGCACATGAGACGGGGGAGGGTCAGGGAGAAGCAGACTCCCTGCTGAGCGGGGAGCCTGATCCCGGGACTCCAGGATCATGACCTGAGCCTAAGGCAGTCGCTTAACCAACTGAGCCACTCAGGCGCCCTAACTTTTTTTATTTTTATAAAATAAAAACTCGAAAAGCACCAAGGAACCAGAAAGTTTTAATTTTTTTTTTTTAAACAAAAGTTCACTTTCTTTTATATTCTGGCTTTGATATTTTGGGGCTATATCTTGATTCATTTTGGAATGGAATTTTCATTCTGGAGTGTACTCAGATTGTTTTTACCTTAATAACGTAAAGTATCAATACCCAGACAAATGGAGATAACAAATTGTAGTAGCTATAGAAAGGAGATCCTCATATAGCAGGAACAACTTCTGGTAGATTAATACTCTTTTTCAACCTTTATAAAATTGATCAGATTTATGATCTAGTCACCAGTTCTTTTCTGCTAATGTGCAAGGAACTACAACAAGAGATAGAGGCATCCACAAAAATTTTTAAACCCTTTTGGGGCTAATGATTTAAATCAGGACATGGAATTTTAAAATTTACTTAAAAATGCAAGGTATTATGGGAAGAAGACAAGCGCATCAACATCTAGAACACATGACAAAACCTTGGAGGCTACCTAAGTCAACTTCACAATAAAGCTTATGAAGGAAAAAACCCCAAGATAGTATAAATACTAAGTAAGTGCCAAAAGGGTAATCAGATAGCAGAAAGTAAAGTACTGTGAATATTTGTAGAAAGATGGATAAATCACTGTAGGCTAGAGAGGTAGAAGAGCGCCTGAGTGAATGAGGGAGGGATTGGAACTGAGTTTATTAGAAACGTTAGAAAGTACTTATTAGAGGATTGAATATTAATTCAGGAGAAACACTTGAGATTATACACATAAATACCAAATCATAATTTTAAATAAAAATGTGGACGTGAAATGGAGATTGGAAATAGTAATGGACCTTTTTTAGGATATTAAACAGTCCATTTGGGCTGAATCACTGGGTTTGGATGGTATATCATCAGTTTTTGCTGTGTAACAAAGCAACCCAAACTCTAGAGGCTTAAAACAAAAAATTATGTGTTGCTTTGTGATCCTGTGGGTTGCCAATTTAGGCCAGGCTGAGATGGGAAGTTCTGGTCTCCCATGGGGCTGCAGGCAGCTGGGTCTGGAACGGGGGCTGGAAATTCTAAGGTGGCCGCATATTGAGCACTTGCAGCTGCTGAACACCTCTGTTCTCTCCTGTGTGGCTTGGTCACTCGGTGGCAGGGGTCTGAAAGGGCAAGGGTGGGGGCAGCAGGGTCTCTTGAGGTCTTGCCTCGGAACTCACAGCTGCACTCAGACTGCTCTGTTGGTCAGAGTTAGGCCAGCCTCTGATTGAAGGGAGCAGAGAGTCTTATTTTTTGTCCAGTTTGGGTCTGCTATTTGAGGGGTGCCCTTAAATGTGATTAAAAGCTTATGATGGTGCTTGAATATAAACGGTTTGAATGTAACATCTTTCATTCTCAGTCTCTTGACTTCAACGTTGTTAACATTTTATTACAAGTGACAGTTGATATGTATTAAGCTTCCTTGGGGATAATGGAAAGGATTGTGGGATGGCTGATAATTTAATTCTCCATTTTGGTTTGGTCTGTTGGGGTTTATTATTTGAAAAACAACATCAAAATCATCATTATAGAGAATTAGGACTTGGATTTACTTTTAATTTTGCTGTAAGATAGTATTTTGGTGGCAGCAGGGAAGGAAAGGGGAGAGAGGCAGGCCGTATGTACCATAGTCTTCGTGCTTAGGGCCTCTTCCAGGTCACCATCCAGCCTGCAAGTCAGTGTTGGGTGACGGAGAGGACCAAGTGAATGACCATTTGAGACTTTGGTTCTGCATAAAGAAAATGTTGGGTTATCTCAAGGAAAACAGATGTGACAAACTAGTGCTATGCAAACTTTCATAGTGTAAGTAGTTTAAAAAGTAAGTTTTGTGTGGTAGTTTATTTACATACTAAATTTACATTTTATATCTAATTGTTGACTTCTTCAAACTTTGATCTTATAAGACATACGTAGTGAACAAACCTATTTTTTTAAATTTTTTTTTAGATTTTATTTATTTGAGAGAGAGAGAGAGAGATAGAGAGCACAAGTGGGGTGGAGAGGGAGAGCAGGCTCCCCACAGAGCGGGGAGCCCGATGCGGGACTCAATCCCAGGACCCTGGGATCATGACCCAAGCCGAAGGCAGACGCTTAACTGACTGAGCCACCCAGGTGCCCCAAACCTATTTTTATATGTGAATTGGTATGAACAAAATTGCTTTTCTCTTGAAAAACAAAATGTGAATGGATTAAACTCAGTATTTTTTCTCTGATATATATCAAACTACCATTTTTATATGTGAATTGGTATGAACAGAATTGCTTTTCTCTTGAAAAACAAAATGTGAATGGATTAAACTCAGTATTTTTTCTCTGATATGTATCAAACTACCATTTTTATATGTGAATTGGTATGAACAAAATTGCTTTTCTCTTGAAAAACAAAATGTGAATGGATTAAACTCAGTATTTTTTCTCTATATGTATCAAACTACCATTTTGCTCCTAGTTTACTTTTACCTTTTTTTGCATGTCAATGATACTAGTTTGGTTATAGTAAACCATTAGCAGCAAAGAGGAGACTTACTGTTTAGTTCTTATAAAGGTACAGTGGGTTTAAACTGTCTCTTTTTAACAGACTCAATCAGAAGAGTCTTGGAATTTTTGTTTGGGCCTCAGGACATCTTATTTTTGTTTTTATATACTTTTCAGATATTGCCATTCAGCATTAATTCTCTGTGATCTAAGTGGAAATTTTATAGACTACAAATTTGAGATTAAGTTATGGAATGTTAAGATACGTCTTTTTAACAATAATACGATGGACTTTTTCAGAAAAGAAATGGGAAGGAATGAACAGTAAGAGAAGTCTTAAAGATAATATTAAGGTCAACCATTTGATAAATTAAAAAATACATAAATTGACAGCATTTCTTTGAGTTGTTATCAGATTTATTGATTAGAAATATTTTTTTTTTAAAGATTTTATTTATTTCAGAGAGAGAGAGAATGAGAGATAGAAAGCACGAGAGGGAAGAGGGTCAGAGGGAGAAGCAGACTCCCTGCTGAGCAGGAAGCCCGATGTGGGACTCGATCCCAGGACTCCAGGATCATGACCCGAGCCGAAGGCAGTCGCTTAACCAACTGAGCCACCCAGGCGCCCCTTGATTAGAAATATTTTTAAGGGGTGCCTGGGTGGCTCAGTTGATTAAGTGTCTGACTCTTGATTTCGTCTCAGGTCATGATCTCAGGGTCCTGAGATTGAGGAGATTGAGCCCCACATCAGGCAACTGGGCATGGAGCCTGCTTAAGATTCTCTCTCCCCCCCTCCCCCTCCCCACCGCTTGCTCACTCTAAAAAAAAAATATTTTTAAGCATTCAGTAAAAATTATAGAATCTAATTTAATAAATAAATAATTTATTTAACATAAGCTCTATGCCCAATGTGGGACTTGAACTCATGACCCCTAGATTAAGAGCACATGCTCTACTGACTGAGCCAGCCAGGGACCTCTAATTTAATAAAAATTTAGAAAGAAGCCTTGGTAGAAAACCTGTCAAAATTCATGAGCATGTGTCCCAGCAGCAAGAGTTACCAGTGTTGTGTATGGCACTGTGCCAAGTAGGAATAAATGTAGCCCTGAGTTAGTATAATATAACTGACCTTTTAGAGACTAGCTAAATTCACTTTTAAAGATCTGCTTGGACATAGAATACCCTCTACTAATAGAAACTTGTATCTCATATGATGCTGGGAGATTCTCAATGCTCTTAAAGGAAATTGTATCAGATAAGATGATACTAATATTGGCATTCCATTTCTACAAAGGCACAAACTGAAAACTGGGGACCACTGAGTTTGAACCTCATCGCTTTGGTCACAAATCGCATCCTGTTCTCCTGCACAGCTGGGGTGCGCTGAGCGTGCTGCCAGTCTAACAGCAGATGCTTAGTCCATGTGCATGTTTCTTTCTCCAGATTTCACCAGAAGTTTGAGTATCACGACTCCTGATCAGATGATTGAAAAGGCCAAAGGGGAAACTGCTTATTTGCCATGCAAATTTACCCTTAGTCCAGAAGACCAGGGACCACTGGATATCGAGTGGCTGCTATCACCAGCTGATAATCAGAAAGTGGATCAAGTGGTAAGTTTGCTGAGTGCTTGCTCACTTAGTAGATGTCTGTGGAACTTCTTAGGTGTCCATCACTATGCTGATCACACAGGCAGGGGTGGGAATGGGGGAGCTATGTAGAAAGCCCCAGACTTCTCTGGCTTGTGGTCTGGGTGAGGAAGACAGTCACTGGATGGAAAGTGAGGACACGTGTAATGGAATGAAATGGGTAAGTGGCCTGAGATTTCTTAGTGAAGGCTTTAAGGAAGAAGAGGAACTTAGGAACATTCTGAAAACCTGGAGTTGGAAATGTGCGTGAGGGAGTGGAGGGAGGGGTATATGGAGCAGGCATGATAGAAAGCATGGTAGGAACATGCATAATGTGTTAGGGGACAGCAAGTAAACTAGACTTTGTGAAGATTTAGAAAGAATTCAACTTTTTTGTTTTTTGTTTTATTTCTTAATTTTTTTTTTTCTTTTTTTTTTTTGAGAATTCAGTTTTTAACACAAGAATTCTGTTACCGCTATAAGGGTCATTGAGTTTAACAGTGCAAGGCAAGTATGTATTACAACAGTCTGTTTTCTATATTCTTCAAGTTAAATATCCTGAATAATGAATTTCTTAAAAAGCAAAACAAAATCTTCGTAGCAAAACAGTTTATAAAATATTTAATCTAAAAAATGAAATAGCAAAATACTGTTATAGAAATTTTTCTAATTATAAAGTATTAAGAGCCTAAGGTTGAAAACCTGGAAAGCCAAAAGTGGCACAAGGGAGGACAATTGCCTACTAATCTCCTCTCCAAATACATATATCACACAATTAGTACTAAAATATTTCACTTAACTTAGAATATTTCATGTTAGCTTTATCTGACACGTTTAGTTCTAAAAAATAACACATTATATTAGATCAGGGAGAGAAAAATAAGTCCAAATATTTACAGGAATATATTAGTAATACACACATTTGGAAGAGAAAATTTATTTTTATTTATGGTCCATAGAAAAGAAGTGGTTATTAAGCCATTTAATGACTGAAACAGTGCAGTTAGGTAATTACTGTTTTTGCAAATTCAGACAGTTTACCCCTGATGTATTTGTGAAGGAAAAAATTAATGTCTTTCCCAGGTTGTGAATGACCAGAGCCACCTCCTCCAAAGACTTACCTCTGTCCCGATTCTGCTACCGGAAGGAACTTCCTTCTGTCTTCCCTAAGCAAAATAGAGCCTGACTCATTCTGTCTACTCAGCCCAGATACCCTGTGCCTCCCTGCTTGCTCTTCTTTCCCCTTAGTGTCTTTCCTTGGCAGCACCAACACCTTGAACATAGGCTTCTATTCTACCTGAGGTTCTGCATACCCCTCCCCTGGCAGTGCCAGGGCCGTGGAGCCCGTGACCGCTCCCGTGGTTCAGATGAATGAATGGAGAGCATGGGTCTTAAATGCTTCTGGCTTAGGACTCCTGAGTGAAGCCCTCTGGAAAGATACCTCTAGAGACCAAGAAGCACAGTGTGCCCTGTAGCCTGGCGTGTCCGTTCGTGGCAGGAGGACCCAGAGTCTTCTGTGCTGAGTGGGAGGCAGAGCTTTATTGCCTACGGGACTTAGGAGACAAGTATCAAACTAGGAATTGGGTTTTAGTGTCCATTTCTGGGTTAAAACCTAGCCTCTAACCTAAAATACGGTAAAATCAAACCAAAAAGAAAGGTAAAAGGGATAGGGAGAGATGATACAGAAGAGGACGCTTATATAGAATTTCAGCTATGTTATCTGTTAGCTGAGCCATTATTTTAATTCAGTTAAACTAGTAGTGACTGTAGCAGGGGACCGGGCTGGAGAAGTTAGCCATCCTTGTTCCCCATGTGATCTCTTTAGTCAGCAGTTACCATGTACTATGCACTTTCTGTGTGCTGGGCAGTGTTTTATAGATTTTAATTATATATAGTTATTTAAGCCTTAGAACAACCTAAAATGAGAGTTTTTATGCATGTGAAGAAGAGGAAATGGAGGCCCAGTGTCACGCAGCTGGCAACAGATGCAGTTGGGGCTTGGACTCAGGTCTCTCTCGCTCCCCTGCCACACTTTGTGATCCCTTGCACCATCCCATACTGCCTCCCGTGTTTCATAAGCCTCTATCCTCCTGTAAAATAGGAAAAAGACAGGGTTGTAATGAGAATTCACTGAAATACTGTATGCATAATGATTTTAGAAGCTTAAAAGTCCTGTAGAAATTAACGAAGTCAGTACCAAGTCAATAAGCATACCAAGTCAAATGGATCTGGTTTGCATCTTAGCTATGGGACTTTGCAAAAGTTCATCTGTGAGAGTCACTGCCCTCCTCAGCTTCAAGGGTAACTGTGGACGGTGCCACTGTCTTTGTAGGGTTGTGAAGAGGAGTCAGAATTTTCTGGTAAATGTTAGTTCTCTGCCGCTTGACCACCATTTGTAGTATCGTTTTCCTGGGGAAATACTAAGAGAGTTTACAAAATAACTAACAGTGAGGACACATGTCAGACTCTCCTTAAAAAACTGCTAAGGTGTGTTTATAGCAAAATGAGGGATTGAGTACCGTAGATTGAATAAGGGAGTCAGCAGTTAAATACAGAGGAAGCTAGGACGGCCTCATTTGAATGTCAGCTGTGGACCTTTCAGCTGCTTTTTTAAATCTACTTAGCGAACTGGTATTGAGTGCAGACATTAAATATATAAATTTAAAAATCTTCGTGGACAAGGAGTGGGGTTAGCATGGCAGGGGAGGTGATGATACCAAAAAGAACCCAAGTCCCTGTCATCAAGAAATTCCTGCCGAGGACACTGATTCTGATTATACTGCCCATAATTACATCTCAGATAAAAATTACTTGCAGGATACAGACTGTAGTCATGTTCTCTGATTATTACTTGAGTTTGGTGCCACTGCTCTTTGAACCTTTTGTCTCAGATGACCCAAATGTAGGATTTCATTAGCAAATGTGAAAAAATTATAAAGTATGTTAATTTGGGTGATAGAGATGACCATTGTAATTCTCTTCCAAGCCAAGTTTAACACAGAATTTATTTTCCCTCTAAATCTAGCCTTTAGTTATCTCCATTAAAGCTTGTAACAGTGGCTCAGAAAACTCAGCGGAATTAGAAAGGGGTCTTTGCTCTTAGTCTCAGAAGACTAGTTGAAAGGTCCTGTTAACCCCGGGCACATGTATCTCAAGAGGTTTATTTTGTGACTTTATCTTTTAGAGTCTAGAACCCTCAAGTGCCTCTGACTTTGTATTAAGACAAAAAAATGTTGTCTTTTTTGTTGTTAGATTCCACAGGTAAATTTTCACCAGCCTTTTTTGGGGAATAGGGGTGGTGGTATTTACCTGAGTTTACACATGTGATTGACATACTGTAAGCTCCGAGACAGCTGAAAAATAACATGTGTAGGAATTCGCAGGTCTGTTCTCGTCCCGTCTAACTAAGCCACTCTCTTACGTCGGGCTATCTTACTTATGTTGGGTCTTGGCTTTCCTATTTATTTATTAACATTTTCTTGTGAATTTGTTTTTATTGGGATATAAGGGATAGGTTGGAAAATGTCGTGTGGGTTATGCCCTACCAGGTAAATGCCCATTTTGATCTTCTTGGGATCACTTCTGGAGCCTTTTCTTTTTCCTGGAGCCACTACTGTTGCTGCCAGCAGCCTCTTCAGGTCCACTGGTGGGTGGCGCCTGGTTTTCCATTTAAAATGAGTGTGTGACCATACCCAAGGATCCCATTGCTCTCTCTCTCTCTCTTTTTTTAAGATTTTATTACTTTTTAAATTGAGTACCGTAGAGAGAGAGAGAGAGCGAGTGGGTTGAGGGGCAGAGCGGGAGAGAGAGAATCTCAAGCAGGTTTCACGCTCAGTGCAGAGCCTGACTTGAGGCTCAGTCTCACGACCCTGAGATCATGATCTGAGCTGAAATCAAGAGTCAGATGTTTAACTGACTTGAGCAACCCAGGTGCCCCAAGATTTTATTTTACTTTATTTTTTAAAAGATTTATTTATTTGAGAGAGAGAGCACAAGTGTGGGGTGGGGACAGAGGGAGAGGGAGAAGCAGGTTTCCTGCTGAGCAGAGAGCCTGACACAGGACTCGATCCCAGGGCTCTGGGATTATGACCTGATCCGAAGGCAGACACTTAACTGACTGAGCCACCCAGGTGCACCGCCCCCCTCCAAGATTTTATCTTTAAGTAATCTTTACACCCAACATAGGGTTCAAACTTACAACCCTGAGATCAAGAGTCATATGCCCTACCTACTGAGCCAGCCAGGCACCCTGTGATGTCCTGTTTTCTTAATCTGTGATTTGAATAATTGTAATTTTCCTCATAATACTGTGTTTTTATTTTTATTTTGGATCCTACAGAAAGTACCATGGTGTATCCAGAGCTCCTTTAATGAGACAGAGGGTTTGCTTATTTGTTTTTTCCCTGTCTTATTTTGGTTTTCTTTCAGATTATTTTATATTCTGGAGACAAAATTTATGACGACTACTATCAAGATCTGAAAGGACGGGTACATTTTACAAGTAGTGACCTCAAATCTGGTGACGCATCAATAAATGTAACAAATTTACGGTTGTCGGATATTGGGACATATCAGTGCAAAGTGAAAAAAGCTCCTGGTGTTGGAAATAAGAAGATTCAGCTGACAGTTCTTGGTAAATTGTTTGTATTAATGTTACTTGTTACAAAGTAATACAACACGGTTCTGTAATAGCAGCATTTGAGGTAATACTAATGTCCTCATAAAACATAAAACTAACATACTTTTTGGATTAAAAATATAAGAAGTGACTGACTTCTTTATGAAATTCATAAAAGAGTTTAAAGGCAAATGACAGAGTTTTGTGATAAAAAAGAGCCCTAAACAGGGCATTAGGAGATCCAGGGTATTTTTTTGGTATTATGCTCAGATTTGCTTTGAAAAAGAAATAGAATCTCTTCATTTCTTGGGCCTCAGCCTACCTTTTTGAAACATAAAAAATTTAATTATCCTTAAATCTCTACCCTGTTCCATTCGTTTCAGAAGTGTTTGTTATGGGCATTTTGAGCTTTTTGCAAACTACATAACTTTAATAAATGAGATTTCTATGATGAATAATTGGAGTATTTAGAACCGAGAAGATGGAATGTAGTAGAAGGAATATTAAAGGGATAAGGCCATTAGACATCAGATGATCATTTAATCTCCCTGAGCATCACTGTTTTTCATCCTTAAAATAAAGGGATTAGACAGATGATCACTAGGATGTGTTGTTGTCTCTCTGACAGTTAAGAAGGGGATTAGTAAACTGTCAAAGACTGCCATGTTTATTTTTCTAGATTCTGTGCTTGTCACAAGCACTCTTAACTCCTTCAGACTGAGAAACTGAAAGGTTATTGTTCATAAATATACATGTAAAGTCTTAGCATGGTAGACTTTACCCAGCAGTACAATGGCTGCCATGTAGAAAAACACAATTGTCTAGCTCTGTTTTATGACAGGGAATTCCCCTGTTTTGTGACCTAAGGTGTCCTATTTTGGGTTACACTTGGAGACCCACTTTGTGTAGGAAATTTGGATCGCTAGAACTGCCTAGCATACCCCTGGAGATAACTAATCAGGGCATTTCTCCCCCCCACAGCAACTCTACCTCATTCCTTTTCTTTTAGAGAACTGATTGGTTGGGGGGTGGGGTGGAAAACTTTAGAGGTGTGCTGGATTCCAGACTCATTTAAAACATCACTCTTTTCTAAAGAATGAATATCAATATCAGAGCAGGTAGAGACTGGGAACAAGAATGTGGATTTTTGTGCACTCCAGTGGCAACTTCAGGTGTTGTCTTGGTAAGACTGTCTTGTACTGGCTGCATTGTTAAGTGGGCACACAAGGGAGTCCTGGTAAAAGGCGCTTCATCCTAAATGGCCCTAGTTCAAAATGTTTCGGCTATGGTATGAAAGCCAGTGAACCTAAACAGGGAACCAGGAGAGGGAATATGGTAACATTGGGAATTCTAGCTTTCTGTGTCTACATTTAGTAAATGTGGAGTTACCTTTCTTTTTCGTAAATGTGAAAGCGGGTATAACTTGTCTGAACTCTTATTCCGGGCCCAGGCATACCTGGAATTATAACTCTGATTGCGTATCTTCTTTGAACACATTCTCCAGGAAGCATTGAGTTAAGATAGAGATGGAATTTTAACTGGTCCATAATGTACCAGATTCTACCTGTTATCAGAATTATTTGTTGTGGACCCTGAGTGGGCAGGTACACTGGGAATAATGTGGTTGACACACATTTCCAGAAATGGTGTGAACAAGCACAGTGTGTGTGGGTGTGTGTATGTTCCCATGGGACCAGGTTCTGGATTGAATTTGCAGGTCCTGACTGAAGGGACCCCTACGGTACGAGGCAACTCATATACTAGAAGGAACCCGAGTCAGTAATAATGGTTGGCATGTCATGTGGCTAAGCACGCTCATGACAGCAGCCAGGACTGCCACTCAGGAGAAATGTCCCATTTTCATTAAACCTCACAGCCCAGCTTCTCATACCTCAGGATGGGTAAGTGAGAAGCACTGACAGAGTAACTCCTTTTGTCACATCTGTAGGTGATCACCATGGCCTAGCAAGCTGTGAATCCAAAGCAGGGAGGGAGGAGGGGTTAAGTGGAGGGTAAGAGAAGAAAAGGAAGTGACTGCTGAGGGGAGTGGGGATGACTAATACTCTGATTTGAGAAGCTGTGTCAGAGCTGGAGGAGAATTTCCTGTAGCGCTCTTCCATGTTTTCAGATGAGTCATGGCTGCTGCTGGGAGAAACTACCAGAATTTGCTCTTGAAAGTGACTGTTGGGTGGAAGCTTATCTGTTAGCTTTACCTGAGAAATCTGCTTGGATAGTCGGGAGGAAAGATAAAATGAAGTGCCCGCTAGGGACCAGACTGAGTGTTAGTCCAGTGGAGCTCAGTTCACTTGGAGTCCCTGCCTAATACCTTGATTCGCTTATGGGGAATCTGGAGGAGATGCCACCAAAGTGTTCACAGAGTAACGACGTTTGTTCATTGTGCCCTGTGTGCTGTGTGGACATGAACTGGGATGACTTAGTTGCCTGGGTGTGAGAGGTGAAGTGTTACTAGAGTTTGCCCCATTGCCTGAGCCTGCCCTACTCTTTCAGATACGCCAGAAGTTCATGTGGATACAGCTCAATGGCAGAAGGAATTGTTTGAGGGTTAATATGTGGCCACACATCACTAGCACCTTCTGCACCTGGACCTCTGAAAGGACATATTATTGAGACCTTTTGATATAAACAGATTGGCTAGGCTTGAAGAATAGAACAACAATTAATCATTTCCCGGTTGTATACAGTGCAATCGCATGTGGGTAGCTCAGTGGACGCTGGCCCTGGGGGATTTGTAAGCCATTGGTAAAGGGCAGGGCATGTTTTTTTTTCCATTTTTTATTTTGAAATACAAAATAAAATAGAAAAGTTTCTTTACTAGAACATGACGATTTTCCTCTCTGTAAATTAAAAAAAATATCTTTGGACCCACTTTGAGACTATGCAAATATCTTGTTTCTCCTCAAACTTTGCCCATGGTTTTCTTTTCTGTGCACGATTTCACCTGGTGACAGGGTATTTTTTTGTTATTCCATAACTTAACCCATTTATTATAGGCTAGCAGTGTTTCCAGTGGTGGAGCTTCTCCTGGTCTTCCAACTCCTTCAGTCTTCTAATGGCCGGCTTTACTGTGATGGCAGAGGTGGTGCTGTAGGTCCAGGCACTGTTGGCTACTGTTTTCATGCAGGCACCACAGTGCCAGATCCCCACAGCTTGTTTTTTCATCTTGGTTTTGCCGCAGAAGAAGCACGTGTACTTGGCATGCTGGCTTCTTTCAGTCTTCTGCCATTTTCCTGAGGGAGGCACCGTAACAGGTCCCACATTTAGCCATGATTTGGACCTTCTTGATGCCTTTAGCTATGTTGTGGCAAACTAGGTCTGAGCCCAGAGAGCAGGGTATTTTCAACCAAGCAAAAATAGCATTCCTGGATGGATGATGTGATGATAAAAGTATATCCTGTCCCGTGTAGGAATTTAGAGTGTTTCTCCCGTAGACTGGTGCAGGCCATTAGCTTGGAGGGGTGATCATGGAATACAGCATTACTTACACTGGTGGGACGGTGCCCAAGTACAAATTGATGGACATGCAGCTTCTCTTGAGAAGGACTGTTGGCTGTGCCAATGATCGTGGAAGCAAATGTTCTGGGGACAATGGCCAGGTATCCTGGAACCACAGGCCAAAGAAACATTAGAAGACAAGACTTTTATCTGTGTTCCTTTGTGGTTTTTATCTTTCTTTCAATATAGGCAAGTGCCATGCATTAAGAGTTATCTTCCCTGTGGTATAATGGTTGGGGTTGGCATGTGAAAGACTTGCACTTTCTCCTCCCAGTGGAAAGCAGGTGGGCGCCCCCAGAGTGACACCCAGAAGCCAGTGTTGGTAACATCTTGTTCTGTTGTAGATGGTGTGTATCTCAAGCTCAGTGGGTCCTTGAATTTCCTCAGCAGTCACTTTAAGTAACTGCCCATTATTGGATATGTTTGGTTTATGGGAAAGGGATATTTTTGTTAGAAGAGATGAAGGTTAGGGTTAGAACGCTGTAGTACCAATAGATTTTTATGTATGAAGCATTGCTTTAATATCTCACAATATCTGCTAATTCATGTAATGAAGGATTTATTTGGTAGTTTGAAGAAATGGAGAATAAAGCTCACTTCGTTGAAGATTCACAGGATGAAATAATTTGCAAAACTGATTTAAAAGTTTTTAATTGGTGTAGTCAGTCCCCAGGGTAACTGATCAATCTGAAAAAGAAACACATTTGCTTAGGAAAATCATCAGTGTAATTAAATGCATGTGTTCATCCTTGTTAAAAGGTACAGGCAGTAAGAGAGTGGAGAAATAAAGTCAAATTTAAGTATTATCAAGAAAAGTGTGAAGAAGTGAGATCATGATTGACAACCTTTGTTAAAGATGCTCCCCAATAATTCTTTTGGTCAACTTTGGAAAACAGTTTGAACGTTTCTTACTGAGTTAAACATGAACTTTCCAAATACGATCCAGGAATTACCAAGAAAAAGGAAAACATGTATCAATATTTACAAAGTGTTCAAGCAGCATTTGTAATAGCACAAAACCCATTTACATTTTCACAGCAGTGAAAGAATAAAAGCCCATCCAGGACTTGAAAGAATAAAAATTAGCTCCGACTGAAAAAGAACAAAGCAGTCCTGCTGTTTCTCAGAATGGAAGACGTGCAGTAAAAGCCAGCAGGCTGGCGGGAGCACTATTTGTCCCAGGGTTGTGGAGCAGGAGTAAACTAGAGACTACTGTTGCTTCCCCCGTGGTGCCCCTGCTCTGCACTACTCATCTTTTTCCTGGGGTACTCCGTTGCTAAATGGCCCCCATCTCCAATTTAATCCCTGCTTCTCCTAATCCTGCCTCGGAAACAGCATTTGCTTTAGGACGGGTCCACGCTGCTCTTAGACCGTACTCCGAATCCTTCAGAATCCTTCCTCTGATGGTGACAGACTACACACCTGTTCCTGTTGAGTTTAGCTGATTGAGTTTTAACAGAAGCCCTAAAACTGGAAACCGTGTTCATCGGTAGATGAGTGGAGAGGCAAATTTGTGTTCTAGTCCCTTGATAGAATACAGCTGAGCATTAAAGAATGAACTACTGACTGCATGGATGAGTCTCAAAAGCCTTACAGTGAATAAAAGGAGCAAGACAAAAAGCCAAAGTAAATGGGTATTATTCCATTTATATGACTCTAGAAGCAGCAGAACAAATCTAGCGTGTGACAGAAATTTGATCAGTGGCTGCCTGGGACCAGGGTTGTGGCATCGGATCTCAATAAGAGGGAAATTGCTTGGAAGAGGAGGCGAGCCACGCTTCACGGTGGTGCTTATACATTTGTTAAAAATGATCATCCCACAAGATTCAATTGTGTTGATTTTATTGTACGTTCACTGTGCCTTAATAAAGTCCAACAGAAGAGTACAGAATGCCAAGGTGTTATTCCAGTGTTTGGAGTGAGTGACAAGGGATGGATTTAGCAGCTGCTCGAAACAGTTTCCCAGAGAGGCCTGGAGTATAACCTCAGGTTTACCTTTTTATAATCCTGCTCTCTGGATGGTTTGGGGTTAATGTAATGCAGAGTGTTAATTGTTCCTGTTATCAACATTATTTATTATAAATCCCCCGAATAGTGAGATAACAGCACTCAGAGGGATATGACACGGCACAGACTCCCAGAGCGCTACCTACATGTCAAGCATTGAGTAGAAGAGGTAAGGATTAGAGGGAGATGGAAGCTTCCTTGAGTCTAAAGTGGGGCCCGCCTGCACCATCCTTCTCTTTTTTCAGATGTGCCCCCTTGGAATGAAGGAGCCCAGAGCTCCCACCTGAGATACCCGAGCTCCTGCTTTGTGTTGCATAAAGTTGAGTAAACTGGTGCTGATAACTTACTATAGTCTTTTAGTTTTGTCAACGACCACATGGGAATGAGTCAGTGGTTATGCAATGTACTGTGTGTTTAATCCTTGCAAACATAAATTCTGTTCTCTTATATAAAGTTACAATTTATTCTTTTCTCAGTTAAGCCTTCAGGTATAAAATGTTATGTCGATGGATCAGAAGAAATTGGAAATGACTTTAAACTAAAATGTGAACCAAAAGAAGGTTCACTTCCGTTACAATATGAATGGCAGAAATTGTCCAACTCCCAGAAACTGCCCGCCTTATGGTTACCAGGTACTGGTGATATTACAAGTTGTACTATATGCCATTGTTTTGGACTTAGATCTAGTAGTAGGGGTGTGTGTGTGTGTGTAGAGAGAGAAATTCCCAGATACCTTCCCTTTTCTGTACAGAACAATCAAGATTCCATGAGAATTATTCAATGTTTTACAATGTCAACTTAGTGTCATATCATGTTAATGAAAATATTTTTATAATCTCACTGCTTAGGATATTATAGTTTCTTTGTTGTATATATATATATTTTAAAGATTTTACTTATTTGACAGAGACACAGTGAGAGAGGGAACACAAGCAGGGGGAGTGGGAGAGGGAGAAGCAGGCACCCCGCGGAGCAGGGAGTCCAGTGCGGGGCTCGATCCCAGGACCCTGGGATCATGACCTGAGCCGAAGGCAGACGCCTAACGACTGAGCCACCCAGGCACCCCTGTTGTATATTTTCTAATTGATAGTAATACTGATGGAAAATAACAACCATAATGTAGATAATGGCTTGGTTATAATAAGAGTAGGATCTTGAATGTTTTGTCTAGATTCATGTTGAAGTAGGATTTCTCTCCACCTCTTTCTTTTCTCAAACTAAGAGGTCAAACTATATGACCCCTTCTGACTTTTGTATGTTTCTTTCATCTGCGGGGATAAAATAGGTTTGAAATCTTCCTGCTTCCCCAAAGAGCCTTTGTGGGATGGAATTTTTTGTTTTTGTCTTTTTACGTAATCTCTATGCCCAGTGTGGGCCTCAGACTCCTCACCACCCTGAGATCAAGAGTTGGCATGTTCTACCAGTTGAGTCAGCTGAGACTGTACCTGGCTAAGGCAGTCGTGGGTACTCTCACTTGTGATACAAATGACCTGGAGGACAATTATAATTGGTCCTTGAACAACACAGGTTTGAACTATGTAGGTCCATTGATACGTGGATTTTTTTACAGAGAGTACTGTAAATATATTTCCTAGTGATTTTCTTAGTAACATACACAGAACATACAAAACGTGTGTTAATCGGCTATTTATATTATTGTACATACATTTTGGGGCGTGTGGGTGGCTCAGTCTGTTGAGCATCAGACTCTTGATTTCATTTCAGGTGGAGATCTCAGGGTCATGCGATGGAGCCCCACTTCAGGCTCCAGGCTCAGTGCAGAGTCAGCTGGAGATTGTCTCTCCCTGTCTCCCTCTGCCCTCCCCACTCACATGTGCACAGTGTCTCTCTCAAAATAAATAATAAGATCTTTAAAAAAAATTACAGTTACATTTCGGGGGGAGTCAGAAGTTATACCGTGATCTTTGTGCAGGGGATCAGAATCCTTACACACCTGCCACCCCCTGCCATTATTTAAGAGTCAACTGTGTCTGCATTCTGGAGACATGCGCATGTCTCCCTGGAAATTTGTTCTGTACCCAGCTTCAGTTTGTCTGACTTTTACTTGGATTGTCAAGTTTAATAGGGTTTGCCTTTACTAAAAACTGAGCAATGCAATTTTATAAAGATAGGTTTTGCCAAATACTCCCCCTTTTCTTCCCCATAGACATGAATTCACCTGTTATATCTGTAAAAAATGCCTCTACTGAGTACTCTGGGACCTACAGTTGTACGGTCACAAACAGAGTAGGCTCTGATCAATGCCAGCTACACCTGAATGTTGTTCCACGTAAGTACCTTCTTTCGGTCTGTCGTGATAACGTCTGTTTCTGTTGCCTTCATACAGCTTCCTTTGGTTCAGTCAGCAAGTATGTATTGAGGGCAAAGGGATGCTAACTTTGGCAAAGCACTCTGCCTTGGTTATTAGCTATTCTAAGTCCTGGAAAGGGGGAAAAATACTATATTAATAAAGACTTCATTATTGTAATGACATTAAGAAGGTAAGAGTTGTCAAATCGACTCGTGTATCATTAGAACATTCTTATGTGCCAGCCAAGAAAGCTTTGAATATTAAAATGTTTAGTCTGGTTTCATGATTTTTATGCTTGAAATAGATTATACAGTTCAGAAGAAAGTTCTTTCCAGTGGATTTTCCCACTGGACCAAAAACTAATTAAAATGTCTCTTAAAGTTAATATATACAGTGAAATCAGTCCATCAGGGTGTATCCTTAACCTTCAATATGACTAGATACAGATTTTTTTTTACTATTAATTATTTTCTTATTAACATCTTATTCTAGCTTCAAATAGAGCTGGAACAATTGCAGGAGCTATTGTAGGAATTTTGCTTGCTCTAGTGCTCATTGGTCTTACCGTCTTTTGCTGTCGTAAAAAGCGCAGAGAAGAAAAATATGAAAAGGAAGTTCATCACGATATCAGGTAAGTAAGTGACACAAGAGTTGCCGAAAATAAACTAAATGTATTATGTCTCTAAAGCGTTAGTTCTCTTAATCATGTGAAGCATTTACCCCATTAGAACTGGATAAAAGCTGTGGCTCTTCCCCTCAATACATTTGAAAGCTTTACTTTCAATTTCAGGTGTGCGGAATCAACCAACCTCCGTTGTGCCCCGCCTCCAGCCTCAATTTTGAATCCTATTTTAAGAGCTACTGCAAAATGCTTACCTTAAGACTGTCTACCTTCTCCCAATAAAGTACAGGCATGAAGTTTTCAAAAAAAAGGAGATGTTGAGGTTTAGAAAGACCTGATAGTATCAAGTGACATCAGTAATTATATAGAACTGTTGGTAATGTGATTTTATTTTTTAATATTCTAAACTAGTAGATCTTAACTAGAAGTGTGTGTTGCATTATAGAACTTTAAAAAATAACATGACTGAAATAACATCCAGGAAATAAATGGACACTTGGTAGGTGTGGCTTGGGGTCTGTGCACTTGTCTTTTAAACTGTACCAGAGGTAACTCAGGTGTATATTCTTTTTGTCAGTGCTTGGTGTGAAAAATCTTAAGCCTAAATTCTCAGCTTTTGCAAATTTAAATCTGCTAAGCTTTCAGCTAATGTCTTAGAGAAGTAATTTTCATAACGAAAAAGTTTTTCTTGTTTTTTTTTTTGGTAGAAATATTTCTATAGGTGTTAGTGTCTTATCAACTATAATGTGTTGGCTGACTATAGATTATCTTGATCAGTGATAGCACAGTATGAAGAAATTTAAGTTTGTTCCTTGTAAGAACATTATAGAATCAGATTTTTGTAAAAATTACATTTTATTATGTATGAAGGTGTACATTGTGTAAATGATAGATTTGGATGAATACACAGTTCATGACATTGTAGCTTATTGCAGTTGCTTTTTTGTGTGTCGCACACACTTTTATATACATATTTAAATAGAGGATCTTTCCTCACCCGTATCCATTTTTCATAGCTTACATAATTGTAGGTTTTTAGAAGCTTGTTCTTTGAATGTGTTGGGATCTTTGCTTCCTAGGGAAGACGTGCCTCCTCCAAAGAGCCGTACATCCACTGCCAGGAGCTACATGGGCAGCAATCACTCATCCCTGGGCTCCATGTCTCCTTCCAACATGGAAGGATATTCCAAGACTCAATATAACCAAGTACCAAGTGAAGACTTTGAACGCGCTCCTCAGAGTCCGACTCTCCCACCTGCTAAGGTAGCTGCCCCTAATCTGAGTAGGATGGGAGCGGTGCCTGTGATGATTCCAGCACAGAGCAAGGACGGGTCTATAGTATAGAGCCTGCGTGCTTTCACCTCTGCTTTCCGTGGTTCTTTTCTCCTCTTCAAATAGGAAGACTGTTCCGTTCTAAATTCTGCTACCAGCCTCAAAATATATCAAGAAGTTAACCAGAAACTAAAAATTATACTTTAGAAAGTTTTGTTTGGTTACTGAAAGAGTAAAGGCATTGAAGTTACTAAAGACAGATTCACCAACTGAAAAAAGATTTCCTTTAAGAGATTGATATGATAGATTTCTGAATATCAGTGCTTAAGATAGAGCACTTTGAATATGAAATCCTAGGGAAGAATTGGTGAACTTACGTGCACCCTAAGTTGATACTTGAATCATGTGAAAGTGGTACTCCCTGTTTTCTACCATTATTTTTAGGTTGCCTTTCTCAATTTATGATCCGGTGTCCCCTCCAAATTGGTAAAGAAACATTCATGGCAAAAATACTTAATGCCATATCTATGTTCTTTTTATAGCTTCTTTGGAAGCTTATTTAAATATGAGTTTGAAATATCTCTAATAACATAGAAAACACTACAGTGTTCTAGAAATTACTAGTTTTACTTCTGAATCATTCATAAACCTTGTCTATGAAATGATTTCTAACTATTCAATTGATAGACTGCTATAGGCAACAGGGACATAGTAATCTCTTTTATATCCTAAAATAAAGGAGCATCTCTCTGATTCATATAGAAAATTTGCTGCCAGCTACATACAGCAATGATACTAGTTAGCGGTGCAGTAGTGAATATGGGTTTTGTTCACGAGTGATCTGATGCCTTGAGGCCCATGGCCATCTTCAGAACAATGACCAGTCAGAACAAGGATGGAATATTTTGCAGTTCCCAACTACATAGTAGCCCTTGAGGTAATATTTTTCTAATAAGAAAAATTATAATTCACTTATTATTTGACAATTACAGTTTGAAATTCCCCGATTATTGGTTCCAAATTGAAAAACTTTTTCCCTAGTTGGTTCAGTGTTTTGGTTGGGGGTGGTGGTGTTGTGTTTGTGTTGCATAATATATGTTCTAGAAACACGTAATCCTAAATTTACCCACTTGAATGCAGTTTCTGGAGGATATTTTCTTCATAGACTCAGAATGATGAAATACATTTTCTGCTAGTAGGTGTCCTCCATCGATTCTGTAATTCAGACTTGGGAAGGATGTATAGCTGCTATTGTATGGCCAACATGTCTTTGTATAGTTGCAGAAAATCAAGATGAGCTTTGAAAAGAGTGAGTCTTAGTTTTGTGAAAGTGATTTTATTCTTTAAAAAAAAAAGAAGAAATGAAAGGAAAAGGAGTAAAAGGTATACTCCTAACTGCCAAATGTGTTAAATACTGTTGTAGTAGAAGAAAGTGAGTTTATTGTATTTCCCTTAAGATTGTGAGGGAGTGTGGATATAGTAAAATGAGCCAACAGTTTCTTTATAGTAAATAAGGTTTGCAATAAATTATTTCACTAGCTCTAAAACCTTTTCCCTAGATTTTGGTAGGGAGTTGGTTTCTGTTGATCTCTTTGGGTGCTGTGGTGGTAAATGCTACATTATAAATTAATGTTCGTATGAATTTGAGATTAGACAGAGTATTGTGTATACTTTTTAATGCTGAACTTAAGCTGAATGTCTGTGTAATGGATTAGTGTATAGTTTTATATATTTGGAAGCATTTTTTAGTAGGTTTTTAACCCTATATAATATTGCTTTTATACTTGTGTTAACATTTTCATCTGTGCCTTTGGGTAATTTTAATTTTTATTATGAATTTCTGGTGCCTATGAGCTAGCTATCACCTGAAAGGTGCTTAGAGGTGAAGGTACTGTTCCTAAAAACACATCACTGTGACACCTTTTCTTTTCATATTTTGACTTTTGCCTCCTCTTCCCTGTTCTTTTTGGTTGCAACTTAACCGATTGTGTTATTCATAAAGATTTTAAAATTTCAACATCCCCAGCACTCTTTGACTGTGTTTATGATTTTATATCAGTAGCTATTTTTGGGTGCCAGATGTTTGGCCTGTTTTATATGAAAATTTATAAGATAGTATAAGAATAAATAACATCACAAACTTGAATAATGAAAGCATTTGGTCCTTCCCACCCCCAGTTTTCGTACAGTGAAGATTACTGCAGTCTAAGTAGGAACTATGGTAAAAGGTGGACATGTCCTCCTCTCTAGTCTAGGATCTGGCTCTTGAGTAATCAGACTCTCTCCCAGAAGCTCTTCCAGCTCCATACCACTTACCGCCTGAGAACGCAGCTTGTAAAACAGCTCTTGTGCGACCTGAGAAGACCGGCTGGGTGGGAGTAAGTTTCGAGGACAGAGTTCAGTTTTAGACTTACTTCTCCAGCTGTTCCCATTGTAAATTTCAGCTGATCCCGCAGTCAGGTCAGTCAGGTACTGATAGTTTCCCAAGTAATTCTTCATGATAATTCAGTTGAACTAGAAATATTTGTTCTAGAATGGCTGTTAGTAATCATCAAGCGATTCAACCAAAACTGGTTATTCAGTCCTTAACCATGAGAAAGCCAAACCAGGCCGCTCCAGAACGGCCCTGCATCTTTGAGGAGAATCCATCTGATTCTACTTGACACCTGAGAGACTTGACACCATCTTGTTTTGAGTTACACAGGATCGTTTGAAAAGAAATGATACTGGAGAGTATGAGTTCTGTGCTTGGAATATGTAGTTCACTGGTGTTCTTTTTCTTATTGGCAGTCTTACCAGTATTCCCCTCTTCGAGAACCCCCAAAATTTCTTACCACGGTTACACTGACCAGTTTATTCAGGCAAATAACTAAGCCATGGAGTGGTTACAATGGAAACACAGCCTGTGTGTGTCTTGGGAGGAGTTCATTGAAGAAATGCAATTAGATTATGGATATGAAGAAATACCTGATTTTGTTAAAATAATTTTTAAAGGGGGGATTGAGTTCTGGAAATTTGGAGCAAATGAAGGGCAAGTAAACATTTTGATTAAATATAGAAAGAACTCACTGCATGAAGTTGGATATCCAATTCTGTAATGTATGGCTTCTTAAAATAACTATTCTGTCTTTTTGTGTGCGTGCGGCATGTAAATTTGAAGTTTTCTGAATGTTTAAGGTTTATTTCTAATCATCTCCACAGTGTTTCGGGCTGTCGGATGCCTTATTCCAGTGTGAATAGAAAAAACAAACATTTTATGTGGTTAATGCTTTGATGTGTCACGTTAAGGAGTAGTTTGTAGAAAGTGTTGGCACAACTTTAACTTTTTAGTGGCTTGTGACATTATGTACATATACCTTTGTAATATTCTTGTGTTTGGTAGTATAAATGTTCTGGGCAAGTTTTAATATTTCCAATGCCTTTAGATAGTCTTGCAATAGAGGCAACACATTCTGCAGGTGGAGTTTTTACTCGTTTGCCTATTTTGACACTAAAAAAGGTCCATAACTGAGCACAAATTATACAATGTTACAGAAGTAAGGGAAAATAATAAATAAACTTGTGACTTGTGGTTCTGTTTATCTTATAGATGGTAACATCAGCAAATAATTTCTTCATCTAGTCTCTTACTATTATTTAAAATCAAGTTTTAAAAAAATACCCTGTTTTGTAATTTTAAAAGTATGGTGTATATCGGTTAGATTTGGTCCTGAACACTAAAAGCTCCAATCAAGGAAGAACTCTGTGTTTTCTGCTAATTTAATGACATAAGTGTTAAGAGAACCACAGTTTATTCACTTAATTCTCATTCCTAACTGTGAACTTTGTGATAAACTTGTACTACTGAGAAAAAATATTTTGACACTTCACATATGCAAGTAGAGAATTGATAAGTGTCAGTTTCAAAAATGATTTTGTATTTAAAGTTTCTGGCTTACGTATCCAATGGTGCAGATTTTGAAATTTGTAAGAACAAATTTGTTTTTAAAAAAACCAAAAACTTGCTCTAGTTTTGTGACCTTGTGTACTTTTGAAATAAAATCAAAAAAGCAGTTTTCTGCCTCATGGTGTGGCTTCATTGTGCCTTTTTAAAAATGATTACTTCATAAAACTTCAGTATGCTATTCCTCAGGGTTTCCTTTTTTCCTCCCCCCCTTGCATCCCTTGTTAAACAGAATAAAGATCAAACTATCACACATCAATGAAAACATGTCAGACATACATATATTTCCCCACACCTGTGCATTTATATGAGACCAAATAACATAATATTTGGGGTTGAAGCCTCCCACAGTTTTGTGATCAGTTCACAGTTTATAGCATAAACTCAAATCTGAGTTCTTGAAGAGTAGCATTGAATACATAAACATCTAGTTATGGTTTAAAGCTGTTTTCGTTAATTCTAAACAATGATTAGAGAAAAGAAGAGTGAGGTCGTAATACTTTTGTAAGAAGACGTTTTTAGGAATGTTTTGTTAGAATCGAGTTTTTCAGTCTTAGCATTTTTAGCAGCATTTGGGCTGGATAATGCTTTGTTGTGAGGGACTGCCACTGTAGCATGTTGAGCAGCGTCCCTGGCCTCTTTCTTCCTCCCCAAGATGCGACAATCAAAAATGTCTCCAAACGTTGCCACATGTCCACCTGGGTGGAGGGCAAAATTACTCCAGTTGAGAACCACTAGTTTATACTAAGGTGAAATTTTCTACTCAGAGATTAAGAGGGATAGGCCTTATAATCAAACGTGTCTAAATTCTGCTTATTACTAATTGCTTTCCTTAGCTTCACTTTCCTGGTGTTTAAAATGGGGAGAAAAATTATACATCCTGGGGATGCTGGATGGTTCTAAAGAGAGAATTGATATAATGGAAACTCTGTGCATGTGTCCCTGAGAGCTGGGATGCTGATCGTGATACACAAGATTTTCAAAGAATCAGGATTACAATAAAACATGCTGAGTGAAACTGCTGAGTGTAATTTAATGCCTTTAATTTAGACCATATTTTAACCTTGAAAGTCTAAAGGCCAGGTCATATTTGTGGTTAATTAAGTACCAAATGGCAAAACTGATGAAACACAGGTAAAATTTAATATAAAGTAATTTGTTTTTAAATAAAAATTGTCTAGCTTTTAAGCCTAAGGCATAATCAAATGTAATTTCTAAATGTAATAAAGACAACAGTGAAAAGATCATGAAGCCAGTCCTAGGAACCCAGATCAGTTTTTCATGCTGGTATTTCTGAAATCTAAAGTGTGATGTGTTGTGTTGTGACTTAAGTGATTTTTCTAAATTTGATAACTATAGAAAAAGTTGTTGCAGGAAAAAATTCTAGAGTTAATGAAGAACCAAGAAATAAATTTCAGGATAAGGTCCTTGATCTATCAGTTTGCTTCTCATTTCACTACAGAGCTGTGAAAATTCTAACTAATGGAGATTGAGAAAGGGGGGAGAAGATGCAGGAAATTAGAAGTAAAATCATTGCCAGTCTCCGACAAAGTACTTGAAACCGACATGATCTTGACTCTCTTCCCCTGCGTCCTTGTCCCCTAATCCACTAAGTCATAGTGGATTGGTTGTCTTAAGATGTAAAAATGATCATATTAAAAACCAGATCATCTTAACCTGATACACAAGAGCTTTCCAGGCCCATCCCACATACCTCCGGTTTATTTCCCACACCCCCAGGTGCATCTTTATGTGCGGTAGCCATGCTCCACAGCTAAGGGCCACGGTTTCATACCTTTGTGAGTGTGCAGTTTCTTAAGCCAGAGAACAGTCCCGCCTTGCTCACCTGGCCTGCAAGTGTATGTTGAGTCATTTTTCCTGATTTGCACCCCTCCCCTCACTTAAAAGATAAATTAGGGGTGCATCTGGGCTGTCAACATTGCCTGTACAGGTATTTTAGGGCCCCAATCCTTTGCTTTCCAATTGTTTAACCTGCTTAATGTGCCCTTTTACAAGTTTGAAGTGGATTTACTCACCTCTGTCCTCAGTGCCTAACTCTGACTTGCATATTGCTCAGTAAATGCCGAGTGAGTTTTTAGAAAGGAGA